CACGCAAAAGCCGGATCGGATGACCTGTCGAAACACTATATTTTCCGATCATGTGTAAATTAGCCAGTTAGAAATTATTATCTTTAAAAGAAAATATGGATTCAGGCGCTTATAGAGATGACTGGAGACGTTACGAAGATTGGAAAGAAAACATAAAAGCAAATGTACTTTATTGTTTTTTTTGTTCAACTCGCATAACCTCGAGAAGAATTATACAAATCAGTTTTCCTCAATCCTGATTGCATATATGTACTATAATAGAAAAAAGTAAAGCAGAAGAAACGAGAAGTTCACATCAAATTTCATGCTCAGTTAGATAATGATCTGATTGGTAATAATTTCTTATTTGCATCAAAGACACATCCTGTTCTGGTAGAATTCGCCGACAATCTCTAGCCAACTCTAACTAAATCGGGCCAAAATTTGTCGGCGCGAAATTGGTTTATACATAATTAATCATAAGTATTTTGTGCAGATCAACATGGGAATAGGTCATATAGTGGAAGCGAATCCGAACGGAATAGTGAATATGATGTCCTTAATTTACCTCAAGAGGTAACTAATAAGAATCGACCGGGCGGCCTCCAAAAGTGCAAATCGGTGGCGCAGTCACAATCGAAGCTAATAATTTACCGTGTTATACGAACGATAATCGATATCAAATTTAAATCCAAACCTCTTAATGAAACTTATACTGATAATAAAAAGATCTAGTTACGGCATTGGCCATTTATGTTGCGGTTGCGCCATTGATTTGCACTTTGTGGAGTCGATTCAACTAATAATTCCTTGATTAAATTTTTTAAAATTTATGAATAATCGTTTTTCAATTATTTCTTTAGAAGAAACAAGCATCTTACCCCAGGATTCGTAAAAGAACCAATGAGCATTTGAATGATAATGATGTCCAATCTGTTTTTATAAACACAAAGGGTTTTCCCGCTTTAAAAGAATACTGTGAAATATTAAGACAATTAATGAATAATCATCTTGAAGAAGATTCCCAACTTGGGAGACACCTTTTCCAACTACTTGCTTGGTCAGTCGTTGATAGTAAGTTTTTCTCCACCCAAAATGCCATACAGCATTCAAGCTTAAAGAAACCGGCCGTAAACTTGAGTATCATAATTGCGGTGCTTAAAGATACACAACATCAAAAAATGTGGGATGCTATTCCAATTCTAAATAGAATTTTAAAAGAGGGTAAAATAGAAACGGTACAATCAAATTTCATAAGCATAGTACAACGCTGGTTGGGCTCGGAGCCCGCTTATTTCGCTATTGATGCACTAACGGCTCTGTCAGCATTGACATCACTCTTACTATTCGTACCTTCACCAGTTCGCCCCGGCGCCCATCCCTCTGAAAATCATCTTAAATCTCAGTTATGGACTAAGATCCTATCGGATGCATTCACTCTTAATACTGATTCCTTTAACCCTATATGGGAACTTCACCATCAAGTATCTGCTAGTAGTGGAAGAGGATCTGCTAGGTCAGATTTTGCGTGTATTATTACTTCTCCTATCACAAAGGAGCAGTACCCCTTTTTTATCTTAGAATTTGAAGTTGATGGCATACAGATCCATAAAGACTTTGCAGTAGTTGTTTCCGAGGCAGTTCATGCTCTAAATCGCATAATCTCAGCGCGTGTAATTTTAGAATCGGAAATTTCCTTAGCCCAAATGCACGTTGCTTTAGTAAATAATGCTCACATACGGTTCGGATTATTAAGGCCTTTTTATCACCAAGAACGTAATGAAATCATATACATTTATGATCAGAACGTTAGGTGTTTTGACCTACAATCAGGCTGCACTGCAAATGACATCGAAAATATGTTCAATTTGATCGTTTATTTAAGACAAGTGGTTTGTAAGGATGGATTGAACTTAAAAAATATTTTTAATAGAAGAAATTTCGAGAAAAATCGTGTGTTTAATCCTAGACTGCCAAGGCTTCCGCTGAATGCCGAAAAATCCAGAACATCAAAAGCTAATTTCACCCCCGC